ATAATAATAATAATAATAATAATAATAATAATAATAATAATAATAAAGATACTATTAATAATAATTATTATTTTTATGATGATGATGATGATGATGATGATGATGATGATGATGATGATGATGATGATGATGATGATGATGATAATAACAATAAGAAGAAGAAGAAGAAGAAGAAGAAGAAGAAGAAGAAGAATAGTAATAATGATAACAACAGCAACAACAACAATAATGAAAATAATAATAATAATAATAATAATAATAATAATAATAATAATAATAATAATAATAATAATAACAATAATAATAATAGTAATAATAATAATTAAAAAAAAATAAAATAATAATAACAGTAACAATGATAACTGCAATATGTTGCGCATTGCAATATCTTTAGCCTTCCATTGCCGGATATCCATTCCTACCTGAGTGAGGTGAGAAAAATTCGTGTAATTTTAGTACCTCTCCGAAGTACAAAACGTTGGGCCCTTGACGGGGTTCAAATCCAATACCTTTCGGTTGCCTGGCCGACAGAATAACCACTAAACTTCCGACTCATCTACTACGTCAAAGTAACAATAGAAGGACGAGACCACGCCAGAGCACACAGACCACCCACCTTAATCAGGAACAAGAATAGCTCCTCTTCATCCTCCTCCTCCTTTTCTTTCTCCTCCTTTTCCTTCTTTTCCTCCTCTTTTTCCAATTTTCCCTCTTCTCCTTTTTTCCTCTTTTTCTTTCTCTCCTGCTTCTCCTCCTACGACAACAACAGCAACAACATAGACTACTACTACTACTACTACTACTACTACTACTACTACTACTACTACTACTACTACTACTATTATTATTACTGTTATTATTATTATCATTATTATTATCATTATTATTATTACAACAACAAAAACAACAACAACAACTCCAGTTATTACAACTACTGTAACTGCTAATGCTACATCTGTTGTTTCTTTTTCTTCTTTTTCTTCTTCTTCTTCTGTTTCTTCTTCTTCTTCCTCCTCCTTCTTCTTCTTCTTCTTTTTCCTTCTTCTTCTTCTTCTTCTTCTTCTTCTTCTTCTTCTTCTTCTTCTTCTTCTTCTTCTTCTTCTTCTTCTTCTTCTTCTTCTTCTTCTTCTTCTTCTTCTTCTTCTTTTTCTTCTTCTTCTTCTTCTTTTTCTTCTTCCTCTTCTTCTTCTTCTTCTTCTTCTTCTTCTTCTTCTTCTTCTTCTTCTTCTTCTTCTTCTTCTTCCTCTTCTTCTTCTTCTTCTTCTTCTTCTTCTTCTTCTTCTTCTTCTTCTTCTTCTTCTTCTTCTTCTTCTTCTTCTTCTTCTTCTTCTTCTTCTTCTTCTTCTTCTTCTTCTTCTTCTTCTTGCTTTTGAGTTTAAGCGGTTTATCCGAAAAGCTGATAACAATTCAAAGAAAAGAAAAACAACAAGATTCAACGGTGTGTTTTAGCCTACCTTAGGCCAGACAATATGATCTTAGCGCCGATAAAATCCGGATACTCCCGTTGAAACTCCTCCGTGACAGACTTGTACAGATTGAGTCCGAACTCTGCGTCATGTACGGTGCCATCTAGCTCGAAGAACTGCAGGGGTTACAACGTCAGCTCATTTTGCACGCAGCGAAATAATTATATTATACCTTCCTTATATTTTGAAGAAAACCCCCCCAACAAAGCAATAACAACAACTATAACAACCACAATTGCAACAACAACAACAACAACAAAAATACCATTCTGTAACCTTATTTATTTGTCTCAAGAAGAGGTGGAATCGGGCACTCATTACTTTGAGGACATATCATGTGGAGTTATTGGTATCATATTACAGGATGAACTGCTGCTCTTTCTTTCCTCATCCTTTCTATCGTCATTTTCCCTCTACTTCTTTTGTATGTTTGTCACTCTCTAGTGAACTGCTATTTCCTGGGGTGCTTTGATAGTCAAAGCAGGCTTTGTGCTGTTGAGGCTAGACAAGTGAGCAGAGTAAGCCTGATTTCCCAGTCTGGACTTTTCTGTTCACATCCACCCCTTGGCGCTCAAATGACCTTATGCAGTTGCGAGTGCCGTAAAATCTTACTAAATCAAAAGGGTGTTTTATTTATCTTGCTTTCGAGAAAAAAACCAACTATCTTGAACATAATTCCAAATATTGAAGAACGTGGGGATCGCCTGTTCCAGAGGTAGAAGAGAAAATGGTCGCAAAAAATGTGGTGACTTCCATAGCTTGAGAGTACTTGGAAACTGAAAATCTATATTTTGGGGTAAATTTAATCAATGTTTTTCAGTATGCTTCCTGGGAAGCTGAGAATGTTTCGGAGTGTTCTATGGTCTGCTGGGGTAATAATATAGTGTAAAGCGCATAGAGCCTGCTGTTGAGCGGGGATATGCGCTATACAAATGCTATCTATTATTATTATTAAAATCCACACAGAAATGTATTCGTAAATGGACATAAAAACTATGAGCCCAACATAAAAAAGAATGAATAATAATTGACCAACGGACTGAAAAATGTCAGTTTTTTTAAAGTTCATTATTTTGACAAGCACCTGATTTCACCACGATGTATTATATGTAGTAGTGGCGTCGATGCGCTTTTCCCTTTCGTCAACCCGCAGCCACCTCCGAATCGTCAGCCACCCCCAACCTTTGACACGGGTCAAACTTCCATCTATTTATAGGTAGTTAAATCTACCGGAACATGTATTAGGCGAAGTGATGTGCAATGATAGTC